TGTTCATGATAATGGTGGTGGTGATGTTGATGACGATGGTGTTGGTGGTGGTGATGTTGACATTGATGTTGATGATGGTGTTGGTGGTGGTGATGTTGACATTGATGTTGATGAGGGTGGTGATGGTGGTGATGTTGATATTGATGATGGTGGTGAGGCTGATGTGGATGGTGGTGGTGGTGGTGATGGTCACAGCAGTTCCTATGCCTTGAGCACTTATTATTTTATAAGCTTGAGCTCATTCCTATTTTTTTTTTCCATCTCCCTGTTACAACTGAGGATACCAAGGCTTAGAGAGAAAACAATGCCCTTAGTGTAGGTCAAAGAGCTAGTAAGTGTAGTTAATGTCTGTCCTGGTTTCCTGGGGCCACCGTAATAAAATACCATGAGTTGGGTGGCTTTATACAACAGAACTTTCCCTTCTTGCAGTTCTTGAGGCTAGCAGCCCACAGTCAGGGTATCAGCAGGGCCATGCTCTCTCTGAAGGCAAACAGCAGCAACCCTTGGCGTTCCTTGGCTTGTAAACACATAAGCACTCCAGTTCTGCCCCCATTATCACATGGCCTTCTCCCTGGACTGGCTCTGCATCCCTCCTTCCGATGAGAACACCAGTCATATGCGATGAAGGGCCCACTCTACTCCAGTATGAGCTCATCCTAATGCATTACATCTTCAGTGATCCTATTTCCAAATAAGGTTATGCATATTCTGAAATTCCAGGAAGGACACGAATTTCGTGAGGACACTGTTCAACCTAGAACAATATCAGATCCACTTGCTTGGCTCCAAAGCCTGTACCCTTTGCCACCGGCTTTCCTGTCTCCAAAAACCACGGTGGCGATGGTGATGACACTTTAATATTTTAATATGATTAACTGTTTTAATACTTAGTTAAGCATCAGGTGCTGTTCTATGCACTTGGCACACATTCACTTAGAAAAAAAAAAAAACAGCAACCAGAGAAGTCGACTATTTATTATCCCCATTTCACAGATGAGAATTTGAGGCCCAGGGAGGTGAAGTGACCTGCCCAAGGTCTTACAATGCGGAAGACGTGGAGGTGGGATTCAAAGCTGATCCGTCTCACCACACGTTCAAGATCTCAGCCACTGCCAAGCTGCAGATACTCAGAACTCATTCCCTTGTTCCCTAGTCCCTCATTCTTGTTCCTGGAGGGGGAGAGAGGCTCGTGACTGAAGGTGGGCACTTGCCAAACAGCTGGGCAGATGTGGCGTGCAGTCCCTCTGAGCAGGGCCCGCCGGCCGCCTGCAAAAATCATTAAACCCATGACCTTGGCCCCACTTGTGCTGCCCTTGAGCATCTGAGCCCCAGAAGCCTGGCCCGGAACCATCTCTCCTCAGGCAGATTTTTTCCGCTCCACCAGAGGAGGGTGTGGAGCTTCTGGGACATGGGAGGATCATGCACAGGATAGCACCCAGCTCCTCACCCAGGTGATGCCCCTTACCCAGAATCCTGTGCCCCAGTGTAGTTGGTCAGGGCCACAGCAAGGTGCCAGAGGTCCAGCCTCAGAAAGACCTCATGTCATGGACTCTTCCCAGGGTCTGCTCTTCCCCTCTCCTCCTCGAAAGCAGGGCTTGAATCCTGGTGCCAATTCTGGATTCACACCTGCCCCCCTCCTCCAGCTGCAGTCCCCCCAGGCAGGGTCCCACAGTCTGCCACGATCATGGGCAGGTTGCGTCCCCTCTCTGGGACACAGTCTTCCCATTTCTAAGGCAGGGGCTAGAGAAAACGAACTCTAGCCTGCTAGAATTCCAACAGTTCCTGAGCTTGGGGCTGGGTGAATGTGATTCCCTTGAAAATACCCACAAAGGACAGACATGGTGGGGCAGAAAGCAGCTAGGCAAGTGACTCTGTCCAAAGAACCAAAATGGCCCCAGAACCTTCCTCCACCTCCTCCTTCATGTCCAGGAGTCTAGAACCTGACGCTCCTGAAGGCCTCCTCAGGAGGGCCCCTCACCCTGAACACCCAATGGATCCAGACCCTGCCCTGAGTGTCCACATCAGCCAATCCCTGCTGTCTTCAAGGAGAGGTTCACATCCACATTCCTGGCAGCCTCAGAGCCATTGTCTCTGCTGTTCCCTCAACCTGGAGTGCTCTTCCCCCACCCATCCAGGCTCTCCCCTACCCACCCAGCTTCTCTCCACCTCAGCTGGAACATCACTCCTGTATCCCCACTTCTCAGAGCAGCCAGGACCTCTTTGTACAAGGGACCACACTGTGGCTAATGAACTTGGCCCTTTGCTGTGGGCCGGGCTGGACTGAAGGTGGCAGGGCAAGCTGGCACCTGCCTGGCCCGTGGTCATCCTTCGAGAATCACCTATTGAGCGAGTGAATAATGGGTATGTCAGGGATCCCTGGGGACCAGACTAATGCACCCAGCCCACCCCAGCCCCTTCAGGCAGACTCCTGCCCTCAGACCCACTACATCCTTACCTTGCCACTCCTCTCTCAAAGGCATCCCCAACCTGTCTTTCTCTTCACACCTCTGCCTTGCACAGACTCATGCCTGGAAAGCCCAGGCAGGAACACTGCCCTTGGATTAGGTACCAGCGACGACAGGAATGCACCTAATCCAGTTTACAGCTCGCGGGCGCTCAGAACCCCCAGCCTCCAAGGAGAGAAGCACAGGGACCAGGCCACAGGGTTGGACTCACCCCTCGGAGCAAGAACCAATCAGATCTATTTCATGATGAGCTGTTGGTTAATAGCAACATTGCTCCAGGATGACAGTAGACACACACACACACACACCCACTCCCACACCCACACACACACAATCTGCAGCCAGAGGCCGAGCCGCCCCAGCTCACAGGCCACGCTGTGAGCTGAACACATTGGCCTGCCTGCATCCTCGCCCCTGACTGCCTAACACTCCTCCTCCCCGAGGCAAGCTGACGGTGCACCTGGCGACCCAGAGAAGATGCTCAAACTCACTAACAATCAATCATAGGCAAATTAAAATGGGACACCATTTCACACCTAGCAAATTAGTGAAGAAGAGAAGAATGATGTCCCCAGATGCCAGCAAGGTGTGGTGTGGGGGAAAAACACAGTCTCATACTCTGCTGGTAGGATGTCAGGATGGTACAGCGTTTTTGGAGGACCGGTTAGTGATAGCTATCAAAATTTAAAATGCTCATGTGCTTTAACAAAGCAACTGCATTTCTGGGAATCTACCATACAGATATGTCTGCGAATGTGTACACGTTTGTTGTCAAGAAACTGAAAGCAGGGCACCTGGATCGGCTCAGATGGTTAAGCGTCTGCCTTCGGCTCAGGTCATGATCCCAGGGTCCTGGGATGGAGCCCCGTGTCAGGCTCCCTGCTTGGTAGAGAGCCTGCTTCTCCCTCTGCCTCTGCTCCTACTCCTGCTTTCTCTCTCTCTCTCGCTCTCAAATAAATAAATAAAATCTTAAAAATAAAAAAAGAAAGAAACTAAAAGCAATCTATTTTCCACAATATGGGAATGGCTGGATAAATCAAGATAGGATTAAGATAAATGAACGTCCCTTCTGTCACATCTTATGTAGTCATTAATATCAATGAGGTGGTGGGCGCCTGGGTGGCTCAGTTGGTTAAGCGACTGCCTTCGGCTCGGGTCATGATCCTGGAGTCCCGGGATCGAGTCCCGCATCGGGCTCCCTG